TATGTCATACAACGCTAGCCAACTGCCCAGATGCTCACAGATATGCAGTTTTATATGACTTTGCTCCTATCACAGAAAGTCCATTTGTGGGTTTGCCAATATTGCAAAATACTGTAAAGGTTGGGTGAGATAGGGAAACCATTTCAGTTGTCAGCAGAACAAGATGTAGCATTTTCAGAGTTAAAAAAGGGTGATGGATACATGCACCTGAGGGTTGTACCAGACACATAGAAAAAAGAAATTCTGAAGTTATGTCATGAGATCAAAACCGATGGACATTTTGAAGCTGCAAAAACCTTAGCCAAGTTAAGGACGTATTTCTTTTTTGTAAAGAGCAGGCAGGATGTAGAAAGCTAGTGCAGGAAAACTGATGCTTACACTGAGAAGAAGGAGAATCTTTTTGCAGCAGTATCTTGTGGGAGCACTGATAGAGGGCATTGCTATTCATGCCCTTGGCCCTTCTCTGAGAGAGGGGCAGACAGTCACTATGGACTACTTCATAAAATGGCTAAAAACTTACTCAATAGGAAAGCAAGAGGCTGGGATTGTGTCAGTATTTCTGTTGAACTAATTCTTTGCCAGATTTAGGGCCCAAAGTTAGGTATTCACTTTGAATCTGAAGTGTTTCAACAGGTTTGAGAGATTTTAGGGATCCACAGAACTCCATCGTGCCTTCAGATTCTGGATATCTAGAGTGGTGCAAAAGGTTCAATAGGATGTTGGGGGTTAGCTGGTAATCTTTCTAACAGCAACAAAAGGACTGGGACCAGCATATTCTTTCTGACAGATCCCAGAGTAGCAGTCAGTGTACAAAATGTACCCCAACACTCTTCCTATTTGGGCATGAGCCAAGAACCCTAGGAAACCTTTTGTACAGAGTTCCTGAAGAACAAAAGGAATTGACCCATTTGGAGTACACCAAAACTATGCATGCAAAACTGAAAAACTTCACACTTTTTCTAGGGAAAAATTTTGAATAGCCTCTGATAAAATGAAGAGATTCTCTGAAGTAAGGTCATATGGAGAAACTTTCAAAAGAGGGGATTTGGTTGGTTCCACAATCCTAAGAGAAAGAAGGGTAGGAACTCTAAGAGGGATAGGAAACTTTGGGAAGGATTCAAATACAGTAGTTATGCAAATAAATAAAGTGGTGTACATGATGCAGTTGAGTCCCAGGTCTAAACCCAAAATGATCTATAAATGTCATATAAGGCAATATCAGGGGGACAAGAGCTCTCTGAATCTGACAACTGAGGATGCTGAGGCTGGAAAAGTTGTGACAGTAATGAGTCTCCCCATTCCAACAGAAATCAGAAGAAACTGTCACAGGGAGCAAAATTCACAGAAACAACAGACACACTTCAGGAGCACATCTGAAGAAAGTTCAAGGAGACAAAAGCCCCAAAGAGGATTGGGAGGGCATACAATTCTTTTCTGTTTGTGATGTGAAACTATCTTGACAGAAAGACAAGGTATGTATGTAACCGTTAAGTATTCATTTGTAATTTGTTGAATTTATTTATTTTCTGTTTGGTATGGGTTATTGGGCTATCATCATTTTAGGCTTCATTGAGACAATGGGCGAAGTTGGGATAGGTTACTGTTATAAGATGGAGCAAAATGCAGGACAATGTAGCACTTTAAAGACTAACAAGATGGTTTATTAGATGATGAGCTTTCGTGGGCCAGACTCACTTCCTCAGATCAAATAGTGGAAGAAAATAGTCACAACCATATATACCAAAGGATACAGTTAAAAAAATGAACACATATGAAAAGGACAAATCACATTTCAGAACAGGAGGGAGATGCAGGGGGGGCGGGAGGAAGGAAGGTAAGTGTCTGTGAATTGACAATATTAGAGGTGGGGAGAGGGGGATGTTTGTGAGTTAATGGTATTAGAGGTGATAATTGGGAAAGCTATCTTGATAATGTGTAAGATAGTTCAAGTGTTTGTTCAATCCTCTTTGGAGAGTGTTGAATTTTAACATGAATGACAGTTCAGAGGATTCCCTTTCAAGTGCAGATGTAAAAGGTCTTTGTAGCAGAATGCAGGTGGTTAAGTCATTGAGAGAGTGTCCTTTCTGGTTAAAATGGCAAGAAACTGTTTTTTCTTTGTGATCTTGTCTGATATCTGTTTTGTGGGCATTAATCCTTTGGTGAAGTGTCTGAGATGTTTGTCCAATGTACATAGCAGACGGACACTTTCGGCACATGATAGCATAGATTATATTTCTGGATGCGCAGGAATATGTGTTCTTGATCTTATAACTCACTTGGTTAGGTCCAATAATGGTATCAGCAGAATAAATATGTGGACAAAGCTGGGTGAGAGTTCATTATAGGTTAAGTTAAAACCTCATTCAAACAGATATGTGAGTGAATCCCCCATTTAAGATAGCTGTAAGGGACAGTTAAAGGGCTACAGCTAAAACAAAGCGTAATAAAATGGGTCCAGAAATGAGCATGAGGTGATGGAAGGTTTGATAGAATAGTGTGGCCAGGTGGAAGGGAAAGAACTCTGAAGGCATTTCTCAACTTAAAATATTACTTAAGCATAGATACATACTACAGCAATGGGAAGATTCTCCCATTTAATCCATCTCCTTGAGAGGTGACAGCTAAGTCGGTAGAAAAATTCTTCCATCAATCTAGTGCTGTCTGCAAAGGGGGATAGGTCAGCATAGCTGTGTTGCTCAGGGGGTGTAGATTTTTCATATCTCTGAGGGTATGTCTATACTTGCCCCCTGGTTCGAACTAGGGAGGCAAATGAAGCATGCTGAAGTTGCTAATGAAGCGTGAGAGTTAAATAACCCGTGCTTGATTAACATATTCACGGCTGGTCGCCATTTTAAAATGCCGGTAGCCCGAATGAACTCGCCACATGTCGATGCAGTAGTCCGATCTAAAACACTTCCCTCGAATTCACTGTTACTCCTCATTGCACAAAGAGTAACGGTTAATTTGAGGGAAGGGTTTTGGATCAGGCTATCATGCCTACACGCGGCAAGTTAAATCAGGTAACCAGCATTTTAAAATGGCGACCGGCTGCAAGATATTTAAATCTCATGCTTCATTAGCAACTTCAGTATGCTTCATTTGCCTCCCTAGTCCGAACTCGGGGGCAAGTGTAGACATACCCTGAGAGATTAAGCTATGCCATTTTAAGCTTTCCAGCTCCACAGAAAACTGAAAAAATGACAGAAAGTGAGGAAGTGAAGGAGCAACTGAAATCATTCTTCACTATCTCTGAAAGAAGCCTGGGAAGAGTTTTTTTGGGTCCAGGCTGAAAAGTGTACTCTTGGTGCTATAAGCAAAATAAGCTGTTTACTGCTATTTAATTCCTACATTCAGAAATACACGACTTTGTACTTCTTTGTCAATAAATAAAACTACATAAAAGAAAATACCAGGCTACATTAATTTTTGCTTCCGACTGGAACATCAATGGAGTCCTGAAATTCTACTAGTGCTCAGGTTAGAAAAGGGGCAACAATCACATCATAAACACTGCCAGGAATTTTATTGCAAGATATCTATTCTATAAAACCCGCTTTCATGATAGAACAAAAACTTTAAACACATTTTTCTTCATTAATTTTTTGGCTTTCAATTGCAGATTTTAAGTATTGTTGAGATTAACTACCACCAAATAAGGTAACACAAAACCCAGATAAAATCAGGAGTTAGTTATATGATTAAATATATAAGACAGCTTCCTACAAAATGTTTATTTTTTGAAAATTTTTGGCTACAGGACAATTTTATGAAGTTATCCTTCATGTCATACAATCTTTTGAAGAGTGCACACATAATATGGAAATAATATTGTGACATTTTCAACCTAATTACCAATCCTAAAAAAAGAGGTTTTTAATTTTACTTAGCATAATCAAAAATAGCTAGTGATGGCATTTAAAATGTCCTTGATCCCACACAGTAACCAATAGCATGTAAAACGCATTTCAGATCATATGTAATGCCAACAGGTGGAACCAAAGCTGGGACCTATGGAGCTAAGTGCATGAGCCTCTACAGCTTGAGCTAAAAGCCAGCTGGCACTCAGCTAAGACTGTAGAGCAGACTTGTAATTCTCCCTGTAAGTGATCTAAGTGCCATGAGGTGGGACAGTGAACCACTCCCAGCAGATGTGTGGATGACATACTTCCTCTACCTGAAGAAGCGTGGTCCAACCTTCAGAGCCATCCCAGTTGAAATCCTAGACAAGTTGTACTAGTAACATCGAGAGGCAGAACTGAACCTGGAATCTCTGGAGCTTAGTGTATGAGCTTCTACTGCATGAGTTAAAAGCCAGCTGGATCTTAGCTACCGCTGTAGAGCAGATTCATTATTTTGTCTGTAAGTGGGACAGTGAACCACACCCAGCAGATGTGTGGTTAACTATACATACCATTAAAATGTTATATATCTGTGTTTCCAAAGACAGTTTTCTTTTTACTAGTTTATTCATTACATTTCAGTGGATGATACAATATGCAATGAAAGAGGAATGTATATTAAATAAATTAAGGTTACCAAAGAGTACAGATTGCTCACCCCATTTGGGGACAGGCAGTAAGCTATGTTTGAACTCCACAGCAGATATCCTTATGAAATATTTGCTTCATAATATCTTTGTGACATGACATGGTAGATCATGGAAAGTATATGCAGACCTTATCATACCCCTTAACTTTTGACATTTAAATGAGAATTTTCTACCTTTGTTTACATTTTGCAAGTCAAATCAATTTCTAAATCAGAGAGCTACTTTAACAAAACAATGGAAGCTAAGCACAAGAGCATGCAATTTCCTTTCTTTAAAAGGCATATACAAAACACGAGTATTTCACAACATCTTGGAGATGAAGTTATGCCTATGTATCTGCAGGCAGAACAGAACCCTATGCATTTAGTTAGATTAATACTCTGAAATTTTGAAACCCTAGTATTGTCAGTCAAAAAGGCAAACACATTGATTATTTTATTACATTGTTTACCTTATGTAACTGGTAGTACTGCTCACCACCGACCCCTCCTTGTTCTTCTGCAGTCCACAGCACCAACCGCAGAGTTCTCTTGGGGCGGAGCCCTAGAACACACAAAATTAGGGGTTTAGTCCCAAACATTCTATTTGTCTGAACAATTAATGTGTTGGCTTCCATTCACCATTAATACTTCTATTGAAGCAGAGCAGATGATGCATAGCTAGGGCCCCTATAAATGTGGAAGGAGGGGAAGCCACAGCATGTCACAACCATTTCTACAAGCCTGAACAATAGAGACTCCATAGCCACTTCCTCAACTAGGTCTCTTACATGGCAACATGTGCTACTGCCCCTGCCATTCTTGAAGTAAATCAACTAACCATACCACTTTCAGTGAACTTGCTGGTAAGGATCCTCATCCTTCCCCTTAATTGAAAATATGCTGTTAGATTTGTATGAGAAACCTCCCAGGGCTTTTTAACAAATACTAGGATATCATTTTGCTATTCATTACACATTACTAAGAATAAAATAGCAGAGAGAGCTGTACTTTATATCCTTAAATACAATCAGCTGTTGAGGTTATGCAACACTTTTTAAAACAAGGCAAGTGCAGGACAATTCTGAAACAGCCATAATAGCTGACAGAAAAGTAGGGTCTGAACTATAAAACAATGTAATGCTGCAACCGATCCAGGCAGATATACATTCTGGTCTTTGATTTATAGAATTAATTCAATCTGGTATGTCAATTAATAATTCAGTATATTGATTCTGTGCATCAATATTCAACTTTTTTTAAAAGAATGCTTAGAATTTCTATACAGTATAATTTTAACAACGGTCAAGAGAACGAGTGCATAGGGTGAAGCTGGTTGTGAAAAAATTATTGGACTATAACCATACACAGCTTTGTCAATAATTATAAACCCTCTTTTTTCCCCACCAACCTGAAAGAAATCAGGATTACAAACGGATCTGACCCTGCCTTCCACTTCAACACAAGTGAAGAGGAGCTAAAGCTTTGCTGTTAGAAATTATGCATTAGGTACCTTACTAACTAAAGCCAGCAACAGAAATGAAATATTCTAAATATGTATTACAGAATTATGGAAAGTGCAAGTTTTACAGGAAGTACAAACAATACAATTCAGTAATTAAAATTACATTGTGTAAATGAAAGTCGCTTTACTCTAAATGTGGAAAGAGGAGAACCCTTTTTTTTAAAAGCAACCCCCTAAAAAAATCCCAACAGCTTTGCTGCTCCACTTCTAAGTCATTACACCACAAGATTCATCTCCTTACCATTTCAAATCAATCATATGGGCCAGTGATGTCACATTACAATAATAATAACATAGTCATCACACTGAAGTTAGCAAGATTATGGTCACAAAGTAACCAAGTGTGGCAGCAGGTTGGTTAAAAAAAAGGCTGTCACAGTGGCTCTCAACCACGGCCAAGGAGTACACTAAGTATCTGGGAATACATCAACTCATCTAAATATTTGCCTCGATTTACAAAAGGTTGCATAAAAAGCACTAGTGATGTCAATGCAAACTAAAATTTCATATAGACAAAATAAGAAAGCTAGCAATTTTTCAGGGTTTTTTTTTGTATTTTGTTGTCTGATTTTGTAGGAATATAATGTTTTAGTGAGGTGAAAATTGGGGTACAAAAGACAAATCAGACTCCTGAAAGCCTCCAGTAGTCTGAAAAGACTGAGAACCACTGTTCTAACACACAAATCACATTCTGGCCCCAAATCCACATCAAAATTGCAAAGAAAACTGCTAGGCGTGCACTGTTTTTAAAAAGGAAATTATTTGTTTAAAGCACACGCTTTAAAATCAAGTTTACCTATGGCTTAAATAAGAGTTTTGTTTTAAAACATTGCTTCCTAGGAAAGAATAATCCAGCAAGAGGTTGTTTTCTTGATTAAGGTATAATATCTCATAGAAGTATTGGCAAAATGTAATTTAGCTTAGAAAATCATGTTCTGTGTGGACCAGAATATATTACGTGAAGAACTGCATGGCAAACTTTAAACCAGTCACTGTTTTAGTGCAGAAGCACAGAAGCATAAATAAAATAATGTGTGTCTGCTTTTTCACCTAGATAAATGATAGAATATACACTTTATAAGATGGCACTGGGATATCTTTGATCTATGTGGCCTTCCACATGGCAATCAAATGCATTAATAGCAGGCATAATTCATTGAAGAGTTGATTGTTAACAATAAGAAGACATGTATGTAATCTGTTTGTTAATCTTCAATTTTACCTGGATGCATTATACACCTCAGCGTGCTTGTTATTACTCCTTACATGTTATCACAATCCTGGATCAGTTTTCCATGTGAAAATGCACCATGCTGCTACACTGGACTCAAACCACGAATCCCACATGTTCCTGGTTTGCTAGGGATGAGCAGAATTTAGGTGCTAGACTTCCTAGACACACAACCCACATGCAGACACCCTTCCTGGCTGTCCACTTGCCTCGCTTTTGACAGACGTGCTCCTACCTCCAATCTTCCCCAGTAGCTGCTATATCTTCACAGAATCCCATCCAAGCTACAGATCCTCTGGTTTACTGTTCCCTTCTTCAGAGGCTACATGACAACAAAAGCAAGTAATACAACAACTCTGCAGAGGAATGTATAAATGCACATATACTTTACAACTACATGACTCCAGGAGAGGGAACTGAAACCTGAGTCCACTCGTGCCCCATGACCAATGGACTGGGGCTCCAAAGCCAAAGGCTTCAGCACCAGATGGGGGCCTGTAATCTGAGCTCAGGCTTTGGCCCCAGACCACAGCAAGACTAATGCCAGCTAAGGCAAACCTATTAAAACTGGGTCACAGCCCACTTTGTGGCTCTGACCCCAGTTTGAGAACTGCTTCTCTAAGAAGAATTTACATAAGAATTAAACTTTGTAAATGAAATTAAGTTCCAATCCTTCCCCGTGTATTTGGCTTGTGGAATTGGCCTGAAACAACACAGTGACTTGGAGATCCATTAATGAATGTCCAGGAAGATTAAAGTGTTCTCCAACAGGTTTTTGTGTGTTGCCTTTTCGATATCTGATTTGTGTCCATTAATTCTTTCCTGTAGAGACTGTCCAGTTTGGCCAATATACATTGCAGTGGGGCATTGTTGGCATTTGATGGCATAGATCACATTAGTGGATGTGCAGTTAAAGGAGCCTCTGATTTGGTGGCTGATGTAGTTTAGTTCAGTGATGAAATCACTTGTGTAGATGTGTGGGCAGAGTTGCACCAGGGCTGATTGCAGGGGTGGGTTCCTGGATGATTATGATGGAGGTGTGCTGTGTAGTTACTGGAAAGAATTTGTTTGAGGTTAGGGGGTTGTCTGTAGGTGAGGATTGGCCTTTCCCCCCAAGGCCTGTGAGAATGTGGAGTAATTTTTCAGGATAGGTTGTAGATTGTTCATAATGAGTTGAAGTTTAAGTTGTGGATTGTAGGTGATGACAAGTGGAATTCTGTTGTTTACTCTTTTGGGCCTGTCTTGAAGTAGTTCATGTCTGGGTACTCTTTTGGCTTTGTCGATCTGTTTTTTCACTTCTCTGGGTGGGTATATCAGTTTTATGAATGCTCTGTATAGATCCTGTAGGTGTTTATCTCTGTCTGTGGGACTGGTTCAAATCTGGTTGCATCTTAGGGCTTGGCTGTATACAATAGATTGAGAAATGTGTCTGGGATGGAAGCTAGAGGCATGAAGGTAAGTGTAGCGGCTGGTAGATTTCCGGTACAGGGTGGTGGAAATTTCTCCATCATTTAATTGTACTGTAGTGTCAAGGAAGTGGATCTCTCATGTGGACTAATCCAGGCTGAGGCTGATGGTAGGGTCGAAGTTGTTGAAATCCCTGTGAAATTCTTCAAGGGTCTCTTTCCCATGGATCCATATGATGAAGATGTCATCAATGTAGCGTAAGGAGAGTAAGAGTGCTAGGGGGCGAGTGCTGAGGAAACATTGTTCAAGGTCAGCCATAAAGATGTTGGTATATTTTGGGGCCTTGTGGGTGCCCATGGCTATGTCGCTGACTTGAAGATACAAATTGTCTCCAAATCAGAAGTAGTTGTGGGTGAGGACAAAGTCACAGAGCTCTGTAACCAGGTGTGCAGTGCTGTCATCGGGGTTGGTTTTCCTGATAGCCTGTAATTTGTCTTCATGTGGAATGTTGGTATAAAGAGCTTCTACGTCCATGGTGGCCAGGATGGTGTTTTCAGGAAGATTACTGATGTTTTGTAGTTTCCTCAGGAAGTCAGTGGTATCTTAAAGATAGCTAGGAGTGCTGGTAGCATAGGGTCTGAGGAGAGGGTCAATATAGCCAGATAATCCTGTTGTAAGCGTGCCAATGCTTGAGATGATGGGTTGTCTGGAATTTCCAGGTTTGTGTATCTTGGGTAGCAGATACAAAACTCCTGGTCAGGGATTGGGGAAGAGGGGGTGTTAGTATAAATTTGGTCTTAAGCAGCTTCAGGGAGCTTCATGAGCAGTTGTTTCAGGGTGGGGGGTTTTTTGTATTCTTTAGTGGGATCACAGTAGAATCTGGTGTTGGTGAGTTGCCTGGTCACCTTCTATTCATAATCTGTTCTGTTCATGACTACAGCGCCCCCTTTGTCAGCCTCTTTGATTATGATGTTAGAATTGTTTTTGGGCCTGTGTATAGTATTGCATTCTGCATGACTAAGGTAATATGTTATATGATGTTGTTTGCTGACAATGTCAGCTCGAGTATGTTTGTGGAAGCAGTTGATGTAGAAGTCAAGACTCTCATTACGACAGTTAGTAGGGGTCCACATATAGAAGCCTTTGTCTTGTGGGATTGGTGGGGGGAGGGGAGTGAGGAGGGAGAGCAGCAAGGTCTTGTAACTACTTGAATCATCTACTCACTGTCTCTCTCCCTCTCTTTTTTCTTTCCCTCTCCTTTTTTCCCTTCCTCCTCCCTCCCCTTATTTATTCTTGGATCTGGACTTCTAATACTGTGGTCATCTGAAGAAGTGGGTTGCACCCACGAAAGCTCATGATACTATCTACATGTTTTGTTAGTCTTTAAGATTCTACTAGACTG